CCTCCATTGATGCTGGCAATGTCAGGGTCGTTGACCCCATCTACAGCCAAGAGGTTACTGATGACCTGTGGTGAGGAAAGACAAGTTACCATGGTAACTGCATCTTTGGGTGAGATGACTGAGATCATCCCTTGTATGAAAAATCTAAATTCTCATAAGGTAGCAAGAAAGTATCCATTGGCCAGAGGGGTGTCCATTCGGTGTCCATGGATACTGCCTTGCCACCATATGATCTGCTTGTCCATTATGTAAAATCAGCAGAAGGAAACTATAATTCACTTTGTCTTTGTGGTAGAAAAGTTCATGGTATGACAAAAATGGACATGGAAAATTCTCTCTCAAGGATTCAATGGAGTAAATGTTTACACTATATATATTCTTCTTACAATACATTGTATATTAGCACATATAAATGCTTCAGAAGTGAAAATGTAGCAAATGCATGTAATACATAATCATTGTGTATTTTCTGACCTGTGTCTCATACATGTATCCTGCAGGAAACAATGGTCTGATGGATCGGTCTAAGGTGCAGAAGGAACAAGAAAACATACATGTATTTCACAAGTTCTCTCAATCCTACATTGGCCTGCATACATTGTACCTACACTGGTGCAGGTAACATTGAAAATTACCAGCACCAGCCAAATTTCACCTGCACCACACAGAATTCAGAAAGTATAGATTACACTAAAACCTAGTAGTCACAAAACATTGACATTTCTTTTATAGTTCATGTAGGTGGTAAGAGTCAATGCAGCTAATGAAAATCCACATACACCTTGGCCTTCATTTGTATACATATGTAATTCCAGTACAGGCCAATTGGTCCAGTGCAGGTTAGGCGTAACCTAACATTAGAAATACCTGCACAGCTCCAATTTCGCCTGCACTAACCTGCAAATACCACTAGGATTTCGAGTTCTGATCAATATGTTTTAAGTTCTCCATAATATGTGAAGAGAGCTTCCCTATATGTTAGGACTGCCATTAAGGGCAGTAAGTGAATGTAAGTATGAACTAGAAAGGCCAACATTTGCTTCGGAGCAAATGTAGGAATTTCACTCCATACCCTTCCCCAAACAAAAATGAGAGATTCTAAATAAATCATACTGCAATTATACAAGGACAAGCTGTTTGAATCTCGACAGGTATTTACAAAACTGGCACTTGGCAATTATCTCCCTTTTTTTTTACAAAGATACAACGACATGCACTTTAAATCTCGACAGCTTTACTTTACACTTTTGACGAGATTGTAACTACTACTAACGGAAGCAAAATTTTCACGGCCTGAGAAAAATGGACATGTTCACGGAAGTATATATTCACGGTGGTGACAGTTGCAGGAAAAAGAAAGTCCGGGAATTATTTCCTAACTGTAATGATAAGTTCACAATACAGAGGTGACAGTGAAAACCGTGAACATTGACCCCCGCTTGCGTTGCGGTACAGTGAAAAAAAATCGGGAATTACAGCAATCAATTTACTGAGTATGTTTGCTTAGTTTCCAGATGTTTTGTACTTGTAGTTTTTAAATGAACGAAAACCGAT